AACTGCAAATAAAAAAATGAAGAAACGAAAATTTCAAAAATCAGAAATTGAAAAAACGAACAATTAAAACACCTAAAGTTGAAAAATGAAAAATCCGAAATGAAAAAATCCACACTGAAAAAAATTTATAAAACCAGAACAATGAAAAACTGAAAAATTGAAAAAAAAAAGTAAAAAAAGAATCGTAAAATTGAAACAGTGAAATATTAAATATCGAGAAACTGAAAAATTGAAAAAAATTAATGAATCGAAAAACTGGAAAACACAAACATTTGTAAATTCGAAAAATTATAGAATCGTCAAATTGTAAACTCGAAAACTGTAACACTGAAAGACTAAAAAATTGAAAAAGTAAATATCGAGACCTTGAAAAGTGAAAAATGTTTTAAAATCCAACAATTGAAAAACGGAAAAATCGAAAAATTAAAAAATTGATCATTTTAAAAATTATATTTAGTATAACATACTTATATTTAAATGAAAATTAGAAAAATTTGAACTGGAAGCTCTACTCAAAAACTCATAAAAAAACGAATAATTAAAGTTGAAAAATCAAACAATTCAAGGATTGGAAAAACCAAAAATTGCAAAATTCCATACTCAAATAAACTCAGAACATTGAAAAACTGAAAAATTAAAAAAAAAACCGAAACGAAAAATTGAAACACCTAAAAATTAAAAAAATTAAATTGAAAAAACAAAAAATTTAAAAATCGGAACATCGAAAAAAGAAATCGAAACGAAAACGTAAACGAAAAATGCAAATCGAAAATCGCTATATTTTTGGAATCAGCTCGTCAAGATCTATAACCCTGAATTTTTTGGACGACTTTTTCAAAAATCAAATTTACTGCGATGTATACCCTTTTCTATGTTAAAATTTTCTAGTTTTCAGTGTTTTTAGGTTTCACTCTCCCTCATTTTAATCTCTTTTATTTTTCAATTTTTCGGTTTTTCATTTTTCAATTGCCCGATTTTTCAATTTTTCAATGTTTTGATTTTTCACTGTTTCGCTTTTACCATTTTCCATTTTTCAATTTTTCATTTTTCAGTGTCTCGATTTTTCAGCTACTAAATTTTTCAATTTTTCGACTTATAATTTTAATCTTTCTATTTTTGAATTTTTCGTTTCTTAAATATTTCAGGTTCAAGTTTAGCTATATACATTTTTCAAAAAGTCGAGAAGTTGGAAAATTAAAAATCGAAAAACAAAAAATCGGAAAAAATTGGAAAATCGAAAAACTGAAAACAACTAAAACTTCCAAAATCGAAAAAGTGGAAAATCGAAAAATTACAAATCGAAAAAGTGAAAAATCCAATAAATGAAAAAGATTTGTGCAATCATTGAAAAATGGAACAATTCTAAAATCATAAAACTGAAAGAATGAAATACCTGAAAATTATAATTATTATTATTACATATTTAAAATCAAAAATCAGAAACTGAAAAAACGAGCAATTAAAACACCTAAAAGTTGAAAAATCGAAAAATTAAGAACCGAAAAATTGAAAAATTCCACACTGAAAAAAATTATAAAACCAGAACAATGAAAAACTCAAAAATTGAAAAAATATAAAAATAAAAAACCGAAACGAAAAATTGCAAATTGAAGAAAGGAAAAATTGGAACAGTGAAATATTAAATTAATGAATCGAAAAATTGGAAAAAAGAAAATACGAATCCAAAAATTATAAAATTCAACAAAAACTGGAAAACCCAAAAATTGAAAAATAAATCAAATCAGAACATTGAAAAACCCAAAAATTAAAAAAATAAATAAAAACGAAACGAAAAATTGCACATCAAAAACTGAAAATTGAAAAATTAAAAACTCGTGAAATTGCAGATCGCAAAATTGCCGAATCTGAGAATTGAAACACCTAAAAATTGGAAAATCGAAAAAATGAAAATTTAAAAATGAAATATTGAAAAATTGCAAATCGAAAATTGAGGCAACGAAAAATTGAAAAAATTTAAATTCAAAATCAAAAACTTAAAAAATCGGAACATCGTAAAATCGAAAAAAGAAACCGAAACGGAAACGAAAAATTGCAAATCACAAATTTGAAGAAACGAAAAACTGATTAAAAAAATTGGAAAATTTAGAAACTGAAGAACTAAAAAAACAAAAAATTGAAAAATCGCAATTCGAAACATTGAAGAAACCAAAAACTGACAAAATTAAAATTTAACATACAAAAAATTATAAAATCGAAATTTTTAAAAATCCAATACATAATTGAAAAAAAAATTTTAAAAAAACGTAATCGAAAAATTGAAATTGAAAACTCGAGGAACTCAAATCGAAAAACTGCACATTTCGACTCATTTTCAACGATTTTCGAAATTCAACTATTAAACACATTTTCTTGTAATTTCAAAAAATTCGAATTTCACACCGAATATTCCGGAAATATTGCTCCGTGACCATAAACAAGCTCTATTTTTGGAATCACCACGTCAAGATCTACATCCCTGAATTTTTTCAAGATTTGTGGACGACTTGTTCAAAAATGAAATTTTCCACCATGTATGCAAATTACGAACCATTTTCCACGATTTTCGAAATTTAACTGAATACATTTTCTTGTAGATTTCGAACTCCAGAAGTCACTTCCGACCGTATTTCATCGATAACTCTAATCATTTTTCCAGAATTGCCCACTGAAATATCAAATTTTTTTTAAATTTCAAAAAATTCGAATTTCACTCCGAATATTTCGATAATGTTGCTCCGTTACCATAAACACGCTATATTTTTGGAATCAGCACGTCAAGATCTATAACCCTGAATTTTTTTGAGAGTTTTTAGACGACTTTTCCAAAAATGGAAATTTTCCACTATGTATACCTTTTTCGATTTTGAAATTTTTTAGTTTTCACTCTCCCTGATTTTACTGTTTTATTTTTCTATTTTTCTATGTTTTGATTTCGCTTTCACCATTTTCCATTTTTCAAATTTTCAATTTTTCATTTTTCAGTGTCTAGATTTTTCAATTTTTCAATTTTACAAGTATCTGAATCAATTTTCAAATCTTCAATTTTTTTATTTCGCCACTTCTCGATTTTTTCGTTTTTTCAATTTTCGATTTGTCAACATTTGAATAAAATAAAAAAAAAATAAAAACAAAATTTTAATATTCCGTTGTTTAATTTTTCTATTTTTCAATATGTTGGTTTTTAAATTATACATTTTCATTTAATTACTCGAATCAACAATTTTCTGATTTTTCGTTTCCTGCATATTTTAATTTTTCGTTTTTTTTTTCTATTTTTATTTTAATTTTCGATTTCTCAATTTTTGATTTTTAAATTTTTCAATGATTCCTTTTTCGGTTTTTGGACTTCTTGGTTTCTCGATTTCCCCATTTTTCTATTTTTCAATAGTTTGGTTTTGCAAGTTTGCAGTTATATACATTTTTTTATCAAAAAGCATGAGAAGTAGAAAAATTGCAAAATCTAAAAAGTGGAAAATCGAAAAATTACAAATCGAAAACGAAAAATTGGAATATTGAAAAACCAAAATTCGAGGAACTGAAAAATCAGAACATTGAAAAACCGAAAAATTAAAAAAAATCGAAAACTTGCGAATCGAAAATCTGAAAAATCAAAAATTAAAAACTCGTGAAACTGCAGATCGAAAAATTGCCGAATCTAAAAATGCAAACACCTAAAAATTGGAAAATCGAAAAAATGAAAAATCGAAAAAATGAAAAATTTAAAAATGAAAACTCGAAAAGTTGCATATCGTAAAATGAAAGAAACAAAAAAAATAAAACACTGAAAAATTGTAAATCGAAAAACTGAAGAAATGAAAACCTAAAATTTAGAAACTGTAGAACCAAAAAAAACAAATTTTAAAAAATCGAATAGTTGAAAAAAAATATATAAACGGAAACGAAAAATTTTGGTAAATGATATATCTTCAATGAAAAAAAGGGTGGGTGGGCGGGGCTAAAATTACTAAGATAGAACTGAACAATATTAAGAGTAATCACTGAAATGAAGAGGTGGTGGATGGGCGGAGCTATTGCTTGCTTATAAAAAACTCTATAACAAAAGTTAAACTTAGCCCCACCCACCCACCCGTTTTCTCTTTTTTTTCTTCACCAATTTGATTATAATAATTATAATGATAATAACATATGATATATATAATCATAATTATTATGATTCGGAACCGAAGGAAGTTCCATCTAAATAACTTTATATCAATTTTTATTTGATCTACGAATCAAACAGTGCTGCCAACTGATTTTTTTATTCACCAAACGACCGGACTTCTTGACAAAAACAATTTGAAACAATTTTTAATCGTTTTGTTGGTGACATAATAACGTAAGACTTAAAATATCCCTAGAATTTGTGTCAACTTGCACATTTTAATTTTTGCGCCCGATAAAAAATAATCTAACAAACATTATTCACTGTTTTGTTAATAATAATAATACGTGCAGTGATTGTTTAGGTTGTTTGTTGTCTACGTAACGAGCAAACTATTAAACAAAAACACCAAACACTACCACGAATCGACCAAAGAAAATCCTGTTTAGCAAGACTGTAAAGTTAACCGATTTCACAACTTTTTCATAAATTATTCGCTGCTATAATATTTAAAACACGGTGTTTAATTGCTCGCAACTATGTTGCTGGGTGTTGATAACGCAAAAATTAAATTATTCAAATTAATGCTGCTACAATAAAAAGTAAAAAGGCGCCCATACGTAATCCCAAATTTAAATAAAAAACAGCGAAAAGTGAAAAGAGTGTTAAAAACATCTGCAATGTTTATGAATGTAAATGGTGCATTAGACACGCAATGTGCTCATACCCTGATTCATATTCCAAAGTAAATATTTGTTAATTCGGTCTTGACAAACACGCTTGTATAACACAGATTACCAAATTATGCGACTACATTTTATTAACAAGAAAATTCAGATGATACATTTAGTAAAAAACAGCGACATTTAAAGCTGTCTTGAAAAAAATCAAATACCTCCTATTAGATTCAATAATGTCAGTACTAGCTGCAGTAGCATTCACGCCTTCAACAACACACGGTGCAGCAGAGGGCAAGTGATTAACATTTTCGTCAGGGTTCTTTTGAATAACCATGCCATCAAGCCCTAACAAGTCATTTCTACAAAACAAACTTCCATTTCAAGCAAACTAGCTATGGGGAACTCACTTGGGCGACTTCTTCCTCCAACACAGACAGAACGCCAGCGACATTACTAAAGTTACCGAAATGCACCCCGAGAGAATAACTGTCCACATGACTTCACTCAGTCAAGATGGGCATTTCACATTTTCGGCGTGGGGCTAAGTAGGTCCCATTTTTGCACTAGGTTTTACGCACGATTTGAAGATAACTGAGATGGATTACATATTTATCAAAGTGCATGATTTTTTTCTATCATGCTTGTTGAGTGAAGAGCCAGATAGAGGTGAATATCGCGGCTAAGTGGAACACATTAAGTGAATTTTTGTATTGTGTTAATTTTATCGCGGCGTTATTTAAATCTTGAGCTCGACTATAGGACCATGCCAAATACCACAACCCCACCTTTTTGAGCGCTCTGGCACCGTTCTAAAACATCACCAAAACCACTAAATTTTGCTGTAAATAAATTTAACACCAACTCTGCATACCCTTTTAACCGAAAATATCCACACTGGGTGCACACGAACCCGCAAAACCCATGACACAAATCCGCAAAAGTCGGTCTTTTTTCCTTACAGCTTTGTTTACAAGTATGAATAATCGAAACGAACACTGAAGCAGTAAACCCACACTCAAGTACTCTACTTTTATGGCTACAATTTATGCAAGAGCTTCAAAAACGGTGGGTTTCGAATGCTTCATTGTGTGCCCCCATTTGTCAAAAATGTAAGGTTATGGTATGAACATGGTCCACTACGACTAATCGAATTCGAACTTTTGGATTATTAAGCACTCGGGCGATGAATTACACCTACAATACACCGTGGAATGTTTAAACACCATAACAAACACGCACTTTGCACAAATACATGCCAAATAAATGTCAAACGTACGTATGAAAAAAATGAAAGCAGTAGCGCTTGCGTACGATTACGGTTACGGCGTTGCTTTGCGATTTGAGGTTACAGAGTTGATTTGACGATGCTTCGTGGCACAGTGGCGTAACATGAATGAAATTTTATCGTGAATATAGACAATGCAGCACAGGAAACGTATAAATTAACCGAGAGTCTGGTTTTCAAGTTTCAAATTAACTTTAAAGAATCGATTGGTTGCTGGATATATATATATATATATACAGTTTTTCTAAATTTCATGACTACATCGTTGTCGTTTTTTCGCGATTCTTTTTGTCTTTTTTTGATCTCCTTTTTTTTATCGACCCTTCCTCAATTTTTTGGGATCTGTCTTTGTTGCCATTTCTTTTTCTCACCTGTTTTTTCGGCTTTTTTGTGATCTTTCTTTTGCATATTTTTGTCGCTCTTTATTTTGTTTTTTTTTTCGCATATTCTGTCGTTTTTTATCGTCTTTTTTTGCATCTCTTTCTGCTTTTGCTCGATTCTTTTTTGTATTTGAAATTTTCTTGCCGTCTTTCGATTTTTAAATTTCCGTTTCTTGATTTTCTGGTTTCTTTATTTTCGATTCTTCGATATTCGAATTTTCCAATTTTCTATTTTTCCAATTCTCGACTTTCTGATTTTTAAATCTTTGAATTTTCAAATTTTCGTTTTTTCGATTTTCCATTTTTCAAATTTTCGTTTTTTCGATTTTCCATTTTTCAAATTTTCCACTGTGATTTTCGAAGTTTCGATATTTTGAATTTTTGATCTTTCAATTTGTCGACTTTTCACTTCAAATTTTCAAAATTTCGAATTTTGATTTTTCAATTTTTCAAATTTTGATTCTCCGAATTTTCAAATTTTCATTTTTCCGATTTTTCCTTTTTCGAATTTTCAATTTTCTGATTTTTGAAACTTCGTTTTTTGAATTTTTGATCTTTCAGTTTTTCGACTTTTCACTTCGAAGTTACGAAATTTCGAATTTTGATTTTTCAAATTTTGATTCTTGGCATTTTCAAATTTTCGTTTTTTTAATTTTCCATTTTTCATATTTTTAACAATGCGATTTTCGAAGCTTCGATTTTTTAAATTTTTGATCTTTCAGGTTGTTCGACCCTTCACTTCGAATTTTCAAAAATTCGAATTTTAATTTTTTGATTTTTCAAATTTTAATTTTCTGAATTTCCAAATTTTCGTTTTTTCGATTTTTCCTTTTTCCAATTTTTGATTTTCAGATATTTGAAACTTGGATTTTTTGAATTTTTGATCTTTCAGTTTTTCGGCGTTTCACTTCGAATTTTCGAAATTTCGAATTTTGATTTTTCAAATTTTGAATCTTGGAATTTTCAAATTCTCGTTTTTTTCGATTTTCCATTTTTCAAATTTTTGACTATGATTTTTGACGCTTCGATTTTTTGAATTTTTGAACTTCCAGTTTTTCTACTTTTCATTCGAATTTTCAAAATTTCGAATTTTGATTTTTCGATTTTTCAAATGTTGATTCTCCGCATTTGCAAAATTTCCGTTATCCCATTTTTCTTTTTTCGAATTTTCGATTTTCTGATTTATGAAACTTTGATTTTTTGAATTTTTGATCTTTCAGTTTTTCAACTTTTCAAATCGAATTTTCGATTTTTCAAATTTTGATTCTCCGAATTTCCAAATTTCCGTTTTTTCAAGGCTTCGATTTTTTGAATTTTTGATCTTTTTCGAGTTTTTCGACTTCGCTTCTTCGAAAAATAGAAAATCGAAAAAACGGAAATTTGAAAATTAAATTTCGGTTTTTTCGATTTTCTATTTTTCAGATTTTTGGCTGTGATTTTCGAAGCTTCGACTTTTTGAATTTTTGATCTTTCAGTTTTTCGACTTTTCACCTTGAATTTTCAAAATTTAGAATTTTGATTTTTCAAATTTTGATTCTACGAATTTGCAAATTTCCGTTATCCCATTTTTCTTTTTTCGAGTTTTCGATTTTCTGATTTTTGAAACTTTGATTTTTTGAGTTTTTGATCTTTTTCGGGTTACTAGACTTTTCGCTTCTTCGAATTTTCGAAATTTCGAATTTTGATTTTTCCATTTTTCAATTCTTTGAATTTTCGATTTTCCGTAATTTCGATTCTTCCATTTTCGAATTTTCAACCTTTTCATTTTTCGATTTGTCGGAATTTCGAGTTTTTAATTTTTCAATTTTTCTTTTCTTAATTTCGGAATTTTCGATTCTCGATTTTTTATTCTTCTGTTTTTACTCTATTCAATTTTTTTAAATTTCGATTTTTCATTTTTCGAGCCTTCGATTTTCCGATTTTTCGAATTTTCAAAATTTTAATTTTTCGGATTTTCCATTTTTCGAATTTTCGATTTTCTGATTTTCTAAGCTTGGATTTTTTAAATTTTTTGGTTTTTCAGTTTTTTGACTTTTCACCACGAATTTTGCGAAATTTTGATTTTTCGATTTTTCAATTCTTTCAATTTTAGAATATTGAATTTCCGTGTTTTCGATTTTTCAACTTTTTCAGTTTTTCGATTTTCCGGATTTTGTAATTTTTAATTTCTCGATTTTCGATTTTTCATTCTTCTGTTTTTAAACTTCATAGTTTTTTTATTTTTCAATTTTTTAATTTTCGAACTGTTGGTTCTTCGATTTTTCAAATTTTCGATTTTCTGTTTTTCGATGCCAAACTTTTCGAACTCTTGATCTTACAATTTTCCGACTTGTTGCGTCATCGAATTTTCGAAATTTCGAGTTTTGATTTTTTGATTTTTCAACTCTGAATTTTCAAATTTCCGTGATTTCGATTTTTCGATATTCGAGTTTTCAATTCTCCGATTTTCCATTTTTCGTTCTTCTATTTTTGAACTCTTGAATTTTTTGACTTCTCGATCTTTTATTTTTCGAGCTTTCGATTTTCCGATTTTTAGAAATTTCGATTTTTCGGCTTTCCAATTTTTCAACTTTTGATTCTCCGAATTTTCAAATTTCGGTTTTCGGATTTTCGATTTTCCAAATTCTCGATTTTTAAATTTCCGTTTTTCGTTTCTTCTATTTTTCCTATTTCGAATTTTCGATTTTCTAATTTTTAAACTTCGATTTTTTGAATTTTTGATCTTTCATTTTTTCGACTTTTCACTTCGAAGTTACAAAATTTCGAATTTTGATTTTTCAAATTTTGATTCTTGGAATTTTAAAGTTTCGGTTTTTTTGATTTTCCATTTTTCAAACTTTTGACTGTGATTTTCGAAGCTTCGATTTTTTTAATTTTTTCGACTTTTCACTTCGAATTTTGAAAATTTCGAATTTCCATTTTTCGATTTTTCAAATTTTGATTCTCCGAATTTGCAAATTTTCGTTGTCCCATTTTTCTTTTTTCGAATTTTCAATTTTCTCATTTTTGAATCTTCGATTTTTTTAATTTTTGATCTTTTTCAGGTTTTTCGACTTTTCTTTTCTTCGAATTTTCGAGATTTTGAATTTTGATTTTTCAATTCTTTGAATTTTCGAATTTCCGTGAATTCGATTTTTCCATTTTCGAATTTGCAACTTTTTCAATGTTTCTTTTCTTAATTTTGGAATTTTCGATTTTTCGTTCTTCTGTTTTTTATCCTTTTCAATTTTTTTACTTTTCGATTTTTCATTTTTCAGGCTTTCGATTTTCCTGTTTTTAATTTTCCAAATTTTAATTCTCAGAATTTTCAAATTTTCGTTTTTTGATTTTTCATTTTTCGAATTTTCGATTTTTAAATTTTCGAATTTTCGATTTTTAAATTTTCGAAGCTTCGATTTTTTGATTTTCGAAGCTTCGATTTTTTGAATTTTTTGGTTTCTCAGTTTTTTGACTTTTCACTACGAATTTTTGAAAATTTTGATTTTTCGATTTCACAGTTCTTTGAATTTTAGAATATTGAATTTTCGTGTTTTCGATTTTTCAACTTTTTCAGTTTTTCGATTTTCTGGATTTTGGAATTTTTAATTTTTCAATTTTCGATTTTTCGTTCTTCTGTTTTAAAATGTCATAATTTTTTTACTTTCCAATTTTTTAATTTTCGAACTTTTGTTTCTTCGAATTTTCAAATTTCCGTTTTTTCGAAGTCAAGATTTTTTGAACTTTTGATCTTACAATTTTTCGATTTTTGCTTCTTCGAATTTTTTAAATTTCGAATTTTGATTTTTCGATTTTTCAAATTTTGATTCTCCGAATTTGCAAATTTCCGTTTTCCCATTTTTCTTTTTTCGAATTTTCAATTTTCTGATTTTTGAAGCTTCGATTTTTTGAATTTTTTATCTTTTTCAGGTTTTTCTACTTTTCGCTTCTTCGAATTTTCGAAATTTCGAATTTTGATTTTTCCATTTCTCAGTTGTTTTTATTTTCGAATTTCCGTGATTTCGATTTCTCCATTTTCGAATTTTCAACTTTCACTTTTTCGATTTGTCGGAATTTTTAATTTTTCAATTTTTCTTTTCTCAATTTTGGAATTTTCGATTTTCGATTTTTCATTCTTCTGTTTTTACTCTTCCATTTTTTTACTTTTCGAGTTTTCGTTTTTCGAGCTTTCTATTCTCCGATTTTTCAAATTTTCAAAATTTCCATTTTTCGGGTTTTCGATTTTCCAGATTTTGATTCTCCGAATTTTCAAAGTTTCGTTTTTTCGATCTTCCATTTTTCGAATTTTCGATTTTCTCATTTTCGAAACTCGATTTTTTTAATTTTTTGGTGTTTCAGTTTTTTGACTTTTCACTTCGAATTTTGATTTTTTTATTTTTCAACTCTTTGAATTTTCAAATTTCCGTGATTTCGATTTTTCGATATTCGAGTTTCCAATTTTTCTTTTTTCAATTTTGGAATTTCCGATTTTCGATTTTTCGTTCTTCTGTTTTTGAACTTCTTCGATTTTTCAACTTTTGATTCCCCGAATTTTCAAATTTCGGTTTTCGGATTTTCGATTTTCCAAATTTTCCATTTTTAAATTTCCGTTTTTCGTTATTTCGATTTCTGAATTCTCAATTTTTTGGCTTTTTGATTTTTCTTTTTCCAGCTTTCGATTTTCCGATTTTTCGAAATTTCGATTTTCTGATGTTCGGAGCTCTGAATTTTTGGTTTTTCAATTGTACGACTTTTCGCTTCAAATTTTCAAAATTTTGAATTTTGTTCTTTTTTCAATTCTTTAAATTTTTGAATTTCCGTGTTTTCGATTTTCAAATTTTCAACTTTTTCAGTTTTTCGACTTTTCGGATTTTTTTTAATTTGTCCATTTTTCTTTTTTCAGTTATGAAATTTTCGATTTTCGATTTTTCTATTTTTCGTTCTTCTGTTTTTGAACTTTTAATTATTTTTACTTTTCGATTTTCGATTTTTTGAGGAAAGTTCTGTTGAAATAACTTTCGACGAATTTTTGTTGCTGCTTTTTTGTCACTTTTTTGCATTTTTGTGGCTTTTTATGTCAACCTTCTTTATGGCTTTTTTTTGACGTTTTATGCCCTTTTTTACTTCCTATTTGTATCGCATAATTTATGACCTTTCTTTGTCGGTTTTCTCTTCTCGTTTTTTTAATCGCTTTTTTTTATAATAATTATGATTGTTTTTACTTTTTAGCAGTGAATTTTAAATAATACTAAAAGAATGCCCCACTTAAGTAATACTTCGAATAAAGCGTACGTACGCCACTGGTGTCGAACTTGCTGTCACCTCTCCGTTACGACGTAGCCGTAGACCGCCCTCAACTTAACATAAACCAGTAACGTAATTTAGATAAATTGAGGTTATGTTATATACACTAAGAATTCTATGTATACACTTCTTGTTTCGTTTGTAAACATACATCTATATTCTTGTTTTAAAGATTATTAGTTAACCGAAAACCAAAGCAGACGCTACTATAGACACAAATCTCTCAAAACTGTGACTTTGTGCAACAATCCAACAAACATGAAAACCTCAGACTCTGACAAAGAAAACAACAACAGAAGAGCATTGACCACAACCCAGGACCGAAAACTGTACTACCAAGAACTACTAAACAAAGTAGAAGACATCAGTAAGCCCCCCTCTAACCCACCACCCCTTTTTAACATTTAACATTTCAGGCGAAAACGCAGATCTTGGTTTAGAGACAGCCGAAGAAATCGGCGAAATCATCAGCGAAACCAACGTCCTAGAAACGGAATATGACATCAGCAAACGATATCAGTATGCTGAAGAAACCCTTCTTGACTCCATGGTGTTATCATCAGCCAGTGGAATCCTAGTAAAGTGCATAGAATCCCTAGATGTGAACGCTGAAAGCTACATTCCGGCGGAATTCGCCTCAAACATCGTGAGTTTGTTAAAATACGAAATTTCTCGTAAATCGCTAGTTGTTTTAGATGTCTTATTGCAACCAAGATGGTGAATTTGAAGCAGATGATCTGCTTAAGTTGTTACCAGATGTAAATCATCTGATTCCACAAGCGCCTGAGTATAATTTTGTCTATGGAACGTATGATTTGTACAATTTGCCACAGCCAAAGCAGAAGAAGGAACGTCAGAAGCAGCAAAAGGACAAGTTTGAGAGGAAAGTCCCGGAAAAAGTGACCAATTTGCAGAGTGAGGAGCAAGGAATTGAAGAAATTATTAAAGTGTTGTATGATGTTTTAACTGAATGTTATGAAAGAAATAATGAAGAGAGCATTAAGTACTATGACTACGTTATAGACACTGATAGTTTTACTAACACTGTGGACAATATTTTTCACTGCGCTTTTTTGATTAGGGAAGGGCGGGCCCACCTTGATTTAGGTAATTTTTTATCAGTTCTAATTTATAATTGTATTAATTTTATTTTAGATAACAGAGGCACACCTTATATTAAACCTATTAAAAAACGACAATTGAAGCAATTCCGTGATGAAGGCGGCGTGAATTCGCAGTTCATTTCGGCGATAACGGTGTCCGAATGGGAGGTAACTAATACACCAAAATAACGACAAGTTTTAATTGAATTTATGTGTTACAGACGTTCAAGAAGGAGGGATATATCCAAAAGTATAAAAATCGGAGACAATAGTTGACAATTTTAATATTTTAATCAATCAATTTTTATTTTTTTAAGAAAAGTAATAAATATAAAATTATATAAGGAAAAATACAACTCTTGAAATTGAAAAACCACATAAATAAATTGGTTATAAAATCAAAGTTATGAATCATCGAACGTCATTCTCCCAACCCCGTGATTCTTTAAGTACCTTCTATACTGTTTATATTTATTATTTTCCGCTAGTTGCTTTTTGGCGTTTTCTTCCTCTTCTTTGAACCACTCATCAAAGTTTTCCCTAATCCAGAGTTCTTTGTCTAGGAAGTCTTGCTTTCTACCTTCCTCTTGACTGTCAAATTGGTACTGCCCCATTTTTAGGTACTTTCTAATAAGGTATAATTTCTCTTCATCGCTGTAGGGCTGCTTCATAATTGTGTGCCTCCATATCCACGACACATACCAAAAAATATACTTAGCTATAGTGTAAGGAGCAAGAATCAGTTGAATCCATAAGACATCAGTAATGCTCGGCTTGGCATACGCCCCTTTAATATCCATCTTGTCTTCAATCACCTTCTTAATAATATCATCAACCCCCTTTGGCATTTTCGCTTTCCCTTTACTTTTTTTATCACCATGCAGCAGCCCCTCTTGTTTCGCTATATCTATGGCCCTATTTCTATACTTTGGAACAGTCATGAAGTACTTGATAGCGGTGTCGTAGCGCTGCCACCCACTGTAGTACTGTATCACCGAAATCACCGATATTGTAACAACTAAAACAATCCTAACATCCACCTTAGGTGCCATTCTCCTCTTATAATATCTATAGTAATGCGCATAGTACTGATCCGGGTTATCCAACATATCGTCGTACTCCGACCGGGACTCCTCATCTTTCAAAATATCGTACGCGTTCGCGAGAGTTTTAAACTGCTCCTCAGCCACGAGTTTCGCGTCTTTGTCCCTGTGCAAGTCCGGATGGTACTGTTTGGCTAATCTTCTGTAACTTTTGGCGATTTCGTTTTTGGTGGCTTCTCTGGTAACTCCGAGGATGTCGTAGCAGTTGCTTTTGCCACAGTATATACCCTCGAGGAGCTGGGAATGGGCTCCCAATGTGTGGAGGAGGATTATGGTTACACACCATAACATTCTGAGGATCATTTTTGGCACGTTGTATGTGTGGAGGTTTTCAATGAGCGTCTTAAATGTATTTTAGAATTTACGAATTACTTACTCGCCGTCGCATGTTCGAATATTTTTGGCGATTTAACCTAAGTTTAGCGACTGACGTTGACATTCTGGCTAGGGACTTTAGTGTGTCGTTTGACGTACACGCGTACAGAACATAGATTAATGTAGATGCGACATACAGGCTGATTTTGCAAAACCATCCTTATTGACATTGGAGTCCTCAACCGCCAAAGACAAGCGCCAATTTTAAATAGTCGATGCCAATAAAAAAACCTGTTTCACTACAACTCGTAAAACCGAAACATTGAAAAATCGAAATATCGAAAAACTGAAAATTGAAAAATGAAACATCAGAAAATCAAAAAAATGTAACATTCAAAAATCTAAAATTTAAAAACCGAATAACGAAAAATCAAAATATCAAGAAATCGTGGAGTCGAGAAGTCGAACAATTGAAAAACCGAAATAGGCCAAAATCGAAAAGTTAAAAATTGAACAATTTATAAATTGAGAAATTGACAATCAAAATATGGAAAAATCCAAATCTCGATAAATCGAGAAATCAAAAAACTTAAAAATTCGAAAAATTGAAAAACTGAGAGATTGAAAGACAAAAAGAATGAGAAATCGAAAAGTGATGAAGTCGAAAAATGGAAAAATAGAGATATCGACAAAAGTTAAAACTTGAAAAATTGGAAAAGCGGAAAAATCAAAAAACGAACAAACTGAAAACTGGAAAAACTGAGAAACCGAAATAGGCCAAAATAAAAAGTTGAAAAACTGATAAATCGAAAACCTGAACAATCAAATCTCGATAAATCGGAAATGAAAAATTAATAAATCGAAAAAGTGAAAAACAGAACATCTAAAACCAGAAAGTCGAAAAATCGAAAGATTAAGAAATATCGAAAAATTAAAATATCAAGAGATTGAAAAATCTAAAATTTAAAAATCCAAAAATTGAAAAATCGAAAAAGTGAAAAGGTAGACACATCGAAAATCCAGAAGTCAAAAATAAAAAACCCGAAGAATTGAAATATTGAAAAATCCTAAAACTGAAATATCTAAAAACTGAAAAATCGAAAAATCTAAAAAGTGAAGTCGAAAAATAGAAACTTAAAAAATCAAAAATTGAAAAATCAAAAACCTAAAAAATCAAAAAATTAAAGAATTGAAGAACACGAAAATCGAAACACACGAAGGTCAAGAAATGGGAAAATCAAAACATCGATTAATTGAAAAATCGAAAAATTGACAGTTTATTAAAGTCAAATTTGAAAAATTAAAAAATCGAAAATTTGACAAAATGACAATTGAAAAACAGAAATTCTAAAACCGGGAAGTCGAAAAATCAAGAGATTAAGAAATCGAAACATTTGCAAAATTCGAAAGCGTAAAAAATTCAAATATCGAAGAACTGAACTGAAAAATCGAGAAGTCGAAAAACCTAAAATTTTAAAAATTGAAAATCTAAAATTTAAAAATCGAAAAGTCGAAGAATCGAAATATTGAAAAATCCTAAAACTGAGATATCGAAAAACTGAAAAATGAAAGAAAAACTGAAAAATTGAAAACCTGAAAAATCCGAAAACTGAAATTTCCAAAAACTGAGAACTTAAAAAGTCGAAAAATTGAGCAATCGGAAAATCCAAAAAGTGAAGTCGAAAAATCGAAACCTTAAAAAAACTAAAAAATGAAAAATCGAAAAATTAAAGAATTGAAGAACAGGAATATCGAAATGTTCGAAAGTCAAAAAATGGAAAAATCAAAACATCGATTAATTGAAAAATCGAAAAATTGACAGTTTATAAATGTCAAATTTGAAAAATTGAAAAATCGAAAATTTGAAAAAACGACAATTGAAAAACACAAAAATCTAAAACCGGGAAGTCGAAAAGTCGATGGATAAGAAATCAAAACATTTGAAAAATTCGAAAACATGAAAAACGGAAATATCGAAGAACTGAAATGAAAAATCGATAAATCGAGAAATCAAAAAACTTAAAAATTTGAAAAATTGAAAAATTGAGAGATTGAAAGATCAAAAGAACGAGAAATCGAAAAGTGATGAAGTCGAAAAATCGAAAAATAGAGAAATCGACAAACAAAAAGTTAAAAGTTGAACAATTGGAAAAGCGGAAAAATCAAAAAACGAAAAAATGGAAAACTGGAAAAACTGAGAAACCGAAATAGGCCAAAATAAAAAATTGAAAAACTGATAAATCGAAAACCTGAACAATCAAATCTCGGCAAATCGGAAATGAAAAATTAACAAATCGAAAAATTGAAATATCTAAAAACTGAAAAATCGAAGATTCAAAAAAGTGAAGTCGAAAAGTAGAAACCTTAAAAAATCGAAAAATTGAAAAATCAAAAACCTGAAAAATCAAAAAATTAAAGAATTGAACAGGAAAAGCGAAACACTAGAAGGTCAAGAAATGGGAAAATCAAAATATCGATTAATTGAAAAGTCGAAAAATTGAGAGTTTATGAAACTCAAATTTAAAAAAATAAAAATCGAAAATTTGAGAAAATGACAATTGAAAAACAGAAAATCTAAAACCGGAAAGTCGAAAAATCAAAAGATTAAGAAGTCGAAACATTTGAAAACTTCGAAAACTTGGTAAAAATTGAAATAACGAAGAACTGAACTGAAAAATCGAGAAATCGAAAAATCTAAAATTTTAAAAATTTAAATATCTAATATTTAAAAATCGAAAAGTCGAAGAATCGAAATATTGAAAAATCCCAAAACTGAGATCTCGAAAAACTGAAAAATGAAAGAAAAACTGAAAAATGAAAGAAAAACTGAAAAATTGAAAACCTGAAAAATCCGAAAATTTAAATACCCAAAAACTGAGAACTTAAAAAGTCGAAAAATTGAGCAATCGAAAATTCCAAAAAGGTAAGTCGAAAAATCGAAACCTTAAAAAAACTAAAAATCGAAAAATCGAAAAATTACAGAATTGAAGAACAGGAATATCGAAACCCTCGAAAGTCAAGAAATGGGAAAATCAAAACATCGATTAATTGAAAAATCGAAAAATTGACAGTTTATAAATGTCAAATTTGAAAAATTGAAAAATCGAAAATTTGAAAAAACGACAATTGAAAATCACAAAAATCTAAAACCTGGAAGTCGAAAAATCGTTGGATTAAGAAATCAAAACATTTGGAAAATTCGAAAACATGAAAAACGGAAATATCGAGGAACTGAAATGAAAAATCGAGAAATCAAAAAATCTAAAATTTAAAAATCGAAAAATTGAAAAAACGACAATTGAAAAACAGAAAATCTAAAACCGGAAATTAGAAAAATCGAACAATTAAGAAATCGAAACATTTGAAAAATTGAAATATGGAAGAGCTGAAATGAAAAATCGAGAAATCGAAAAATATAAAACTGTAAATATTGAAAAATTAAAATACCAAAAATGAAAAATCTAAAATTTAAAAATCGAAAAAGTAAGAAGTCGACACATCGAAAAATCCAGAAGTCAAAAATGGAAAAGTCGAAGAACAGAATTATTGAAAAATCCCAAAACTGAAATATCGAAAAACTGCAAAATGAAAGAAAAACTGACGAATCGAAAAACTTAAAAATTCCAAAACTGAAATGTCTAAAAACTGAGAAATTAAAAAATTGAAAAATTGAGAAATCGAAAAATCAAAAAAGCGAAGTTGAAAAATCGAAACCTGAAAAATATGTAGAAAAATTGAAAAACCAAAAAACCTGAAAAATCAATTAATTGAAAAATCGACTAATAAAGAGTTTATAAGAGTCAAAAACTGACAAATCGAAGTATTTAAAAATCGAAAAATTGGAAAAACGACAATTGAAAAACTGAAAATCGAAAAATGAAACATCAGAATATCGAAAAAATGTAAAATTCAAAAATCTAAAATTTAAAAACCGAATAACGAAAAATCGAGAAATCGAAACTCCCAAATTTAAAAAATCGGATAACTGAAAAATCGAAACCGAAAAACTGGAAAATCGAAAAATCAAAAGATCAAGAAATCGTGGAGTCGAAAAGTCGAACAATTGCGAAACCGAAATAGGCCAAAATCGAGAAATCGAGAAGTTAAAAATTGAACAATTTATAAATTGAGAAATTGACAATCAAAATATCGATGAATCGAGAAATCAAAAAACTTAAAAATTCGAAAAATTGAAAAATTGAGAGATTGAAGGATCAAAAGAACGAGAAATCGAAAAGTGATGAAGTCGAAAAATCGAAAAATAGAGAAATCGACAAACAAAAAGTTAAAAGTTGAAAAATTGGAAAAGCGGGAAAATCAGAAAACGAAAAAATGGAAAACTGGAAAAACTGAGAAATCGAAATAGGCCAAAATAAAAAATTTAAAAACTAATAAATCGAAAACCTGAACAATTAAATCTCGATAAATCGGAAATGAAAAATTAATAAATCGAAAAAGTGAAAAACAGAACATCTAAAATCAGAAAGTCGAAAAATCGAAAGATTAAGAAATATCGAAAAATTAAAATATCAAAAGATTGAAAAATCTAAAATTTAAAAATCCAAAAATTGAAAAATCGAAAAAGTAAAAAGGTAGACACATCGAAAAATCCAGAAGTCAAAAATAGAAAAGCCGAAGAATTGAAGTATTGAAAAATCCTAAAACTGAAATATCTAAAAACTGAAAAATCGAAAAATCAAAAAAGTGAAGTCGGAAAATAGAAACCTTAAAAAATCGAAAAATTGAAAAATCAAAAATCTAAAAAATCAAAAAATTAAAGAATTGAAGAACACGAAAATCGTAACACTTGAAGGTCAGGAAATGGGAAAATCAAAACATCGATTAATTGAAAAATCGAAAAATTGAGAGTTTATGAAAGTCAAATTTGAAAAATTGAAAAATCGAAAATTTGACAAAATGACAATTGAAAAACAGAAATTCTAAAACCGGGAAGTCGAAAAATCGAAAGATTGAGAAATATTGAAAAAATAAAATATCGAAAGATTGAAAAATCTAAAATTTAAAAATCCAAAAATTGAAGAATCGAAAAAGTGAAAAGGTAGACACATCGAAAAATCCAGAAGTCAAAAATAGAAAAGCCGGAGAATTGAAATATTGAAAAATCCTAAAACTGAAATATCTAAAAACTGAAAGATCGAAAAATCAAAAAAGTGAAGTCGAAAAATAGAAACTTTAAAAAATCGAAAAATTGAAAAATCAAAAACCTGAAAAATCAAAAATTTAGAGAATTGAAGAACAGGAAAATCGAAACACTCGAAGGTCAAGAAATGGGAAAATCAAAACACAAAACATCGATTAATTGAAAAATCGAAAAATTGAGAGTTTATGAGAGTCAAATTTGAAAAATTAAAAAATCGAAAATTTGACAAAATGACAATTGAAAAACAGAAATTCTAAAACCGGGAAGTCGAAAAATCAAGAGATTAAGAAATCGAAACATTTGCAAAATTCGAAAGCGTAAAAAATTCAAATATCGAAGAACTGAACTGAAAAATCGAGAAATCGAAAAATCTAAAATTTTAAAAATTAAAAAATCAAAAATTTAAAAATCGAAAAAGTAAAATAATCGAAAAGTCGAAAAATCGAAATATTGAAAAATCCCAAAACTGAGATATCGAAAAACCGAAAAATGGAAAACCTGAAAATTCCGAAAACTGAAATATCCAAAAACTGAGAACTTAAAAAGTCGAAAAATTGAGCAATCGAAAATTCCAAAAAGTGAAGTCGAAAAATCGAAACCTTAAAAAACTGAAAAATGAAAAATCGAAATATCGAAACCCTCGAAAGTCAAGGAATGGAAAAATCAAAACATCGATTAATTGAAAAATCGAAAAATTGACAGTTTATAAATATCAAATTTGAAAAACTGAAAAATCGAAAATTTGAAAAAACGACAATTGAAAAACACAAAAATCTAAAACCGGGAAGTCAAAAAATTAAGAAATCGAAAGATTTGCAAAATTCGAAGACGTGAAAAACTCAAATATCGAAAAACTGAACTGAAAAATCGAGAAATCGAAAAATCTATATTTTAAAAATTAAAAAATCCCAAATTTTAAAATCGAAAAAGTAAAATAATCGACACATCGAAAAATCCAGGAGTCAAAGATCGAAAAGTCGAAGAATCGAAATATTGAAAAACCCCAAAACTGAGATATCGAAAAACTGAAAAATTAAAGAAAAACTGAAAAATGGAAAACCTGAAAAGTCCGAAAACTGAAATATCCAAAAACTGAGAACTTAAAAAATCGAAAAATTGAGCAATCGAAAAATCCAAAAAGTGAAGTCGAAAAATCGAAACACCAAGATATGCGAAAATCAAAACATCGATTAATTAAAAAATCGAAAAATTGACAGTTTATAATGTCAAATTTGAAAAATTGAAAAATCGAAAATTTGAAAAAACGACAATTGAAAAACAAAAATCTAAAACCGGGAAGTCGAAAAATCGATGGATCAAGAAATCGAAACATTTGAGAAATTCGAAAATATGAAAAACGGAAATATCGAAGAACTGAAATGAAAAATCGGGAAATCGAAAAATCTAAAAATTAAAAATCGAAAAATTGAAAAAACGACAATTGAAAAACAAAATCTAAAACCGGAAAGTAGAAAAATCGAAAGATTAAGAAATCGAAACATTTGAAAAATTGAAATATGGAAGAGCTGAAACGAAAAATCGAGAAATAGAAAAATCTAAAATTTTAAATATTGAAAAATTAAAATACCAAAAAAATGAAAAATCTAAAATTTAAAAATCGAAAAAGTAAAAAGTCGATACATCGAAAAATCCAGAAGTCAAAAATGGAAAAGTCGAAGAACAGAATTATTGAAAAATCCCAAAACTGAAATATCGAAAAACTGCAAAATGAAAGAAAAACTGACGAATCGAAAAACTTAAAAATTCCAAAACTGAAATGTCTAAAAACTGAGAAATTAAAAAATTGAAAAATTGAGAAATCGAAAAATCAAAAAAGCGAAGTTGAAAAATCGAAACCTGAAAAAATAGAAAAATTGAAAAACCAAAAATCCTGAACAATCAGTTAATTGAAAAATCGACAAATAAAAAGTTGATAAAAGTCAAAAACTGAAAAAGCGAAGTATTTAAAAATCGTAAAATTTAGAATTCGAGACTTGAAACAGCAAGAAATAAGAGTCGAAACCGGTTAGGATGTGTACCAGATCACGGATCATGGCTTATAAAACAAATCGTTTCCGAAATTCTGAACCCTTAGAGTCGACATTGGCCTGAGTGCGCTCTGGTCTGTAGATCAAACAAGTTCTCAGGCGACGAACTGTAATTCGTGTGACCTGAATTAAAGTGAAGGAAACAGTAAGCAGCTTGTAATATTCTGGTAAATCTAGTGTCAAAAATATGGTGACATTTTTTTCTATTGTAGTTAATTTTATTCTTAGTTAGAAACAAACACTGTTGCCAACATAAGTCGCGGAGTCATCAACCGTCATTTAATTCAATCTATGACGCTTCACTATGTTCTCTGTACAGAAACGAAACAGGGATTTTACTTTCTAACTACTAGTAAAAATGGTAGTTTTTGAGGTTATCAAACTAACCTAAATTGTTATTGTTGTTTATTTATTATTTAGTCGAAATGTATGCAATTGTGGGGTTTCTGGAAGACTTGCATGAATATTTGACGGGGACGAGGTGCATGCATGGTAATATAATTCGGAAGCATTCGAAAAAACTTGAATTGGGTGATATTAGTTTTCCTCTGGATATAAAGAAGTGGTCACACATTATCAACAAAAGTAAACTAAACGAAGCCAAGACAATCTTTGATTGTCTCGAGTTTAATCAAGACTTAAACACACATCTCGATTTACTCATAAAAGCGAGCAATCGGTGGCCTCTGGTGCTTGATAGTTACAAAATCAAAGACAACGATGTTCACTTCCATTTGAAGCGTTTTTCAGCAATAAGTGTCTCGATTCGGTGTGTTTTAGAACAAGGCAGCAATTATGGCTTCCAATCTAAGTGTTTTGAAAGTCGAATAAACCTCACAAATGACGACTCTGTGCAGCCAGACTTGACAAAAATGACACTCACAGAGTTAAGAGCGTTCACAATACGAGACGTAGCAACAAATATTTTAAACAATCTAACAAGCAATATTTCGTTTGACTGTGATATTAAAATAACACTGAATTCTAATGAGAAAACCGAAAATGTGATAGTTTGTGGGTCAGTTTTAAATGATAGGGGTGTGAAAGACACTCAGACCACTGCAGATGAACTTTATAAGTAAAATCGTCATTTAACCAGATTTTATTAACTTAATTTGTGATATTTTTTAGGAAAAGATCTCTAGATATGCAATTAATGGCTCAGCACAAATATGGGGTTCAAATTAAGCCCTCCTGGCGCGACTATTTTGAAAAATTGGGTAAAGCGTCTGTGATTTTGGAAATGTTGCAAAATAGGACACACAAATCGTTAAAAATCACATTAAATAGTTTACAAACTGCCAATAAAGGTCCTTCTTTTATTTTTTACAATTGTGCTAGAATTGCAGCCCTTTTGAGACAGTTTGATGATCAAGTTGCCAATAATGTGTACCCTGAACTACCCTTGATTGATAGTGTTGATTTTGCTTTGCTCAATCAAGCTGTAAGTGTGTTTAGTGTTTTAATGAAAATTGGTGTTACATTGTTCTTTGTTTAGGAGGAGTGGGAGATGGTATATGTGTTCATTCTACAATTTCCACTTGTTGTTGTTAACTGTGTGTCTGATATTAAATTAGGGGTTGTAAATCTTCACCAGCTGGTGTTCTTTTTATCCAGTTTGTCTTCAGTGTTCAGTGTCTACTACAGAAGAGTTAAAATATTAACAGTAAGTGTTGTAAATTTTTTGTTTGTTGTTAATACAGTTTTAGTGTTTTGCAGAGTTCAAAGGAGCATCTACTTCCTGTTTTGTTTGCAAGAATTTATTTAATAAAAGCAGTTCAGCAGGTGTTTCATACAGCGTTACATTTATTAAACATAGAACCAGTTAAAGAAATGTAAATTGTTAAATTGTTGTTTGTATTTATTTATTTATTTTGTGATACAATTTTTACTTATAAATAGAAAATTTTATTAAAACCAGTTTTATTCACTTTCTAAACTTTATGAACCGCAACAAAAATTCGGGGGAAAATCGATGTCTAGTACGACGGTATAACCATTATTTTTAAGTACAAAGAATGGCGTTTTCCACTCAACAAAGAACGATTTTACTTTTTTCAAGTCGAGACTTGCAGCGGTTGCATTATTCGACTGGCTGTTCACGTAAAACCGTAATTTAAACTTTATTCAGCGACTAGGTGAATAATGTAAACCAGTCGACGATAAAAGCTCATTGATCATTTGGAAAAATCATTAGCTATTGTGTTTTTGTGTTTTTCTTTTTTCACGGGCGACGGTAGTAAATGTACAGACACGTCTGTATTGTAAAGTGTGTAATGATTTTATGGCGGTGCATTAAGCTGGTAATGGTATTGTGGTTTTTGATACGAGGTAATGGGTAATGGGTATGGTAGGTGGAATAAGTTCAATAATTAATTTAGTCGTGTTTATCATATTTATAATATCAAGTCTCCACGAATCAAATAGCAAGAGTTTTATTTCAAAGGAGAAAATGCAGACATTCTGAATTTCTCAGTATATGCTTAACTCTTAACTTCGACTGTTTATGTTTATACTTCGACCGAAACTGTTTATTATATTATTATTGTTTCAAAAAATACAATTATTTTAAGAATGTATTTGTGGTTTTTATATAATCACAGAAATGTTGAAAATTTGTTTATTTGAGACAATAGAAAAGTTAGGTCAGGTGCATGAAATAAGAAATAAATTTTATAGCAAATAGTATAACAAAAAAAAAAAAAAAATTGGAAATCAAATAACTGAAAACCCGAAAAGTCGAAAAATTAAGAACTCGAATCATGGCAAGACCGAAAAATCGAAAAAAAGAAAATGAAATATCCCAAAATCGAAACCGAAAACCAAAAAACTGAAAATTCAGAAATTGAAAAAATTCACTAATGAGAAAATCGAAGAACTGAGAAGTCGAAACTTTAAAATTTAAAAAATCGAAATATTAAAAAACCTGAAACTGAAATATCAAGAAATTGATAAATCGATAAACAGAAAAAGCGAAAAATTTTAAACATGTCCAGAACAAAACGTTGAAAAGATGAAAAATCGTGAAATCGAGAAAGTGAAAAGTTAGAAAAGGCAAAAGTTTAAAATCTGAAAAATCGAAGATCCGAAAAATTGCAAAATAAAAAAAATGAAAAATCGCAAAATTGGGAAATCGAAGAATTGAAAAACCGAAAAATTGAAGAATAAAAAAACTGAAAAATCCTTAAGTTGTAATATGGAAAAATTGGGAAATCGAAAAAGGGGAAAACCAAAAAATCGATATATCGAAAATCGAGGAACTGAAAAATCGATTCATCGTGAGATGGAGAAATTGAAAAACCCAAAAATTTAGAAATCAAAAGATAAAAAATATTTTTCAGTCTTCAATTTTTCTATTTTCCTGATTTTCAGTTTCAGTTTTTAGATTTCTCAGGCTCTGATTTTTCGATTTTTTAAATTTTAGATTTTTCGGTTTCTCACAACTAATCGATTTTTCAGTTGCTCAATTTTTCGACTTTTCGATATATCGATTTTTTAATTTTTCCCGTTCTCGATTTTTCGATATTCCATTTTCCGATTTTTTGAATTTTCGATTTTTCAACTTTTGATTTCTCAGTTTTTCGATATTACAAACTACGGATTTTTCAGTTTTTTGATTCTTCAATTTTTCGGTTTTTCAGTTCCTCGATTTCCCAATTTTGCGACTTTACGATTTTTTTATTCTTCAATTTTTCGATTTTTCAAATTTTAAATTTTAAATTTCTCGATTTCCCAACTTTTCAATTTCTCGATTTCACTCTGGCTCTGACTTTTCGATTTTTTTGAATTCTAGATTTTTTGATTTCTCGATTTTTCAACTTTAAGATTTCTCGATTTTTTAACTTTCGATTTCTAAATTTTTGCGTTTTTCAATTTCTTCATTTTTGAACTCAAGATTCTCAAGATTAATCGATTTTTCAGTTGCTCGATTTTGCGACTTTTCGATATACCGATATTTTGGTTTTCCCCTTTTTCGATTTCTCAATTTTGCCATATTACAACTTAAGGATTTTTTAGTTTTTCAGTCTTCAATTTTTCGATTTTACAGGTTTTACAAAAAATTGAAAATCAAAAAACCGAAAAACCGAAAAGTCAAGAAAATGAAATATCCCAAAATCGAAAACCAAAAAACTGAAAATTCGAAATCACATATTTAAAAAATTGGAAAAATTCAATAACAAAAAATCGAAGAACTGAAAAATCGATTAATCCTGAGATTGAGAAATTGAAAAATTCAAAAATGAAGAAATTGAAAAACCCAAAAATTTAGAAATCGAAAGTTAAAAAATTGAGAAATCTGAAATTTGAAAAATCGAGAAATCCAAATATCTAGAATTTAAAAAATCGAAAAATCGGAGCCTGAGAAATCTAAAAATTGAAATTGAAAAATCAATAAGTCGAGAAATCGTTTAATTGTGAAATCGAGAAATTGAAAAGTTAGGAAAGCGAAATACATATTTAAAATTTGAAAAATCGAAAAATTGAAGAATCAAAAAATTGTAAAGTCGCAAATTTGGGAACTCGAGGAACTGAAAAATTGGAAAATTGAAAAATCAAAAAACTGAAAAATCCGGTTTGTAATATCGAAAAATTGAGAAATCAAAAGTTGAAAAATCGGAAAATGGAATATCGAAAAATCGAGAATGGGAAAACCAAAAAAAACGATATATCGAAAAGCCGCAAAATCGAGTAACTGAAAAATCGATTAATCGTGAGATTGAGAAATTGAAAAATTCAAAAATGAAGAAATTGAAAAACCCAAAAATTTAGAAACCGAAAGTTAAAAAATCGAGAAATCTGAAAGTTGAAAAATCGATAAATCGAAAAATCTAAAATTTAAAAAATCGAAAATTCAGAGCATGAGAAAACTAAAAATTGAAATTGAAAAATTGAAAAATCGAAAATTAAAAAATCGAAAAAACAGAGCCTGAGAAATCTAAAAACTGAAACGAAAATCCGGAAAGGAGAAAAATTGAAGAACTGAAAAACTGAAAAATGGAGAAATCGAACACAGAAAAGTCGAAAAATCGGTTCATCGCGAAATCGAGAAATCATAACTTAGGGACGCCAATAGTTGAAAATTTGAAAAATAAAAAAATTGAATCGAAAAATTCAAGAATCAGAAATTCGAAAATTCGTAAAGCTGAAATATCAGAAATTAAAAAATCGAAAATAAAAAACCGAAATATTGAAGAATTAAAATATTGAAAATTCCCTAATCTGGAATATTCAAAAGTGAAAAATCTAAAAGTCGGAAAATTCGAAAATTTTGTACGTAGATAAAAAAGGAATTTAATATTATTATTATTTTATTGTTTATTATATTATTATTGTTTAAAAAAATACAATTATTTTAAGAATGTACTTTGTGGTTTTTGCATATTCACCGAAATGTTTAAAATTTGTTTATTTGAGACAATAGAGAAGGTGCATGAAAAAAGAAATGAATTTCAAAAGCAAAAAACTGAAAATTCGAAATCACATATTTCAAAAATTGGAAAAATTCACTAATAAGAAAATCGAAGAAACAAAAAATCGAGAAATCGAAAACTTTAAAATTTAAAAAATCGAAATATTAAAAAACCTGAAACTGAAATATAAAAAATTGATAAATTGATAAACAGAAAAATCGAAAAGTTTTAAAAATCTCCAAAACAAAACGTTGAAAAGATGAGAAATCGAAAAACTGAAAAATCGAGAAGTCGAGAATCCGAGAGCTGGGAAAATAAAAAAAATAAAAGTCGAAAAATCGATTAATCGTGAAGTCGAGAAAGTGAAAAGTTAGAAAAGCCAAAAGTTTAACATTTGAAAAATCGAAAAATCGAAAAATTGAAGACTAAAAAGACTGAAAAATTCTTAAGTTGTAATATCGAAAAATTGAGAAATCGAAAGTTGAAAAATTGAGATCTCGAAAAAGGGGAAAACCAAAAAATCGATATATCGAAAAGTCGCAAAATCGAGAAACTGAAAAATCGATTAATCGTGAGATTGAGAAATTGAAAAATTCAAAAATTTTGTAATCGAAAGTTAAAAAATGGAAAAATCTTAAAGTTGAAATATCGAGAAATCGAAAAATCTAGAATTTAAAAATCGAAAAATCAGAGCCTGAGAAATCTCAAAATTGAAATTGAAAAATCGAGAATTCCAGAAATCGATTAATCGTGAAATCGAGAAATTGAAAAGTCGGGAAAGCGAAATGTTTGAAATTTGAAAAATCGAAAAATTGTAAAGTCGCAAAATTCGGAAACCGAGGAACTGAAAAACCGAAAAACTGAAGAATCAAAAAATTGAAAAATCCGTATTTTGTAATACGAAAAATTGAGAAATCAAAAGTTGAAAAATCGAAAATTAAAAAAATCGGAAAATGGAATATCGAAAAATCGAGAATGGGAAAAATCGAAAAATCGATATATCGAATAGTCGAAAAATTGAGCAACTCAAAAATCGATTCATCATGAGATCGAGAAATCGAAAAATCTAAAATTTAAAAAATCGAAAAATCAGAGCCTGAGAAATCTAAAAAGTGAAACTGAAAACCTGTAAAATCGAAAAATTGAAGACTGATAAACTGAAAAATCCTTAAGTTGTAATATGGAAAAATTTAGAAATCGAAAGTTGAAAAATTGAGACATCGAAAAAGGGGAAAACCAAAAAATCGGTATATCGAAAAGTCGCAAAATCGAGCAACTGAAAAATCGATTCATCGCGATATTGAGAAATTGGAAAATTCAAAAATGAAGACATTCAAAAACCCAAAAATTTAGAAATCGAAAGTTAAAAAATCGAAAAATCCTAAAGTTGAAAAATCGAGAAATCAACAAATCTAGAATTTAAAAAATCGAAAAATCATAGCCAGAGAAATTTAAAAATTGAAACAGAAAATCGAGAAATCGTGAAATCGAGAAATTGAAAAGTTG